GTCTTCGACCGGATAGGGAACGATCCTAGCAATAGGATCCGCCCTTCAAGAGGGTCGGTCCGGTCAGACAACGAAGAAGAGTATGTCCCTCCTCCTAGAAATAGGAAGGAGAGGAGAAACTTAGTCGATTGGGGGAGTCGGGGGAAAGCACCTCCTCCATCCCAAGACGTCCAAGATGACCAAGGATCAGAGGGGCCCTGCCGATCTTATGAGATTGACGACGATGACGATAACCTCCCTTTCTCAAGGGAAATCCGAAGCTTCCCAATGCCAACCAATTTCATGCCCCCAAAGATCCCCAAGTACGAGGGAAAAGGGGATCCGGAGAAGCACCTCACAAAGTATATGACGCAAATGAGTCTTAGGGGAGCCTCACCTGCTCTAAAGTGCAGAGCCTTCCATTTAACACTAGGCGGAGCCGCCGAGGTGTGGTACAGCAGGCTTCCTCCCCTGAGCATCAGAAGTTGGCCGGATTTGAAGAATTTGAACCAGTACCTCTCACGCAGGGAAGGAGAGGCGCCGATCCAACGCCTGCAAGACATGAGGCAGGCCCCTGGAGAGACGCTGAAAAGCTATCTCGCCAGGTTTACAGACGAAATTACTTACTGCGAACAGGTCACTGATTACTTATTGCAAGCATGTCACTGACAGGGAAGCCCTTTCAGCCCTGAAAGGTGGTCTCAATATGAACACTTTGTTTTAGAGGGACGTGCGCAGCAAAAATCCCTCCACATATGATGAGCTGGTGGAGATGATGAGGGTGGAAATAATTAGTGAAGAAATGATTGATCATCGTAACCGTGCCGCGCAGGGACTCCCTCCCCCACAGAGGCAAGTAGGCCGAGGCCCCGCAGCGCACCTTGTTACTCAGCAATGGACCCAAGCAGGGCATACCATAGCTCCCACATCCGGACAGGCCCTAGCTTCCGCCACGTTGAACGCAGTGCCGGTATTGGCATATGATAGCGCACCCACTGAGGCAGCACCATCCGAAAAAACTGACGATAAAAAGAAGAAGAAGAGGCCCAATAGGCCCTTGCCAGGAGCAAGATTTTGTACTTTCCATCAACTATATGGGCATGACACCAGTGAGTGTCGGGATGTCAACCGGCGCCCTGATCGAAGCAACCCCCTCACTTCCAGCAGAAATGGGCACCCTCGCAGATCCACCTCCTCGAGGAAGGAAGGAAGGGGTCACCAGGAACAACCTCCTAGCAGAAGAGAATCAAGAAACCGAGGCCAATCCAGGAAAGAGAACCAAGCTCATAATCCCCATGACTGACCCGCTGTTCGGATTCACTGGGGACAGCATCATCCCACGAGGGCGGATTACCCTGCCTGTGGAAATGGGTTCGGCCCCCCTGGTCGCCCAGCATTTCATGGAATTTCTGGTGGTAGATCATAGGTCGGCTTATCATGGGGTGTTGGGCAGACCGGCTCTAAAAGATCTTTGGGCTGTGACGTCCATTCACTATCTGTGCATGAAATTCCCAACCGAACGTGGGATTGCAACGGTTCGGGGCGATCAGATGAGCTCCAGGGCATGCTACCTGAACTCACTACGCAAATCGGAGCCCCGGACTGTCAATGTAATTCTAGCAGAAGTACCCGCTGAAGTCGGTACGGACATAGAGATGCTCGACGCCCCTGAACAAGGGCATACCTCTGGACAAGAGGAAGATGTCATAATGGAAGAGGCCCCTGAACAAGGACACCCTCTTGACGAGTTAGATCCCCGAATAATTGATTATGAACCAAACGCGACCCCAATGGAAGAACTGGAAACTTTTCCAGTCAATCCAGAAGACCCCAATCAAGTCTTGTGCATAGGGAAGTCATTATCGCCTGAAGCAAAAATTGAGATGATACGATTCCTGAAAGAAAACCTAGATGTCTTCGCATGGAAACATGAGGATATGGTGGGGATAGATCCCAGGATCAGTTGCCATCACCTTAACATCAACCCCTCCGATGCCCCCCATAGACAGAAGAGGCGCGCGCTGAATCCGGAACGGTACGAGGCTCTGAAAGACGAAGTAAGTAAACTCGATCGCAGTGGTTTCATCAGAGAGGCCATATACCCGAGGTGGATATCCAACCCAGTTCTAGTGACAAAGTCCAGCGGGAAATGGAGGGTCTGTGTGGACTTCACAAACCTGAATAAGGCATGCCCCAAGGACAACTTCCCACTTCCAAGAATTGATCAACTGGTCGACTCCACTGCTGGGCATGAACTACTTAGCTTCATGTATGCGTACTCAGGGTACAACCAAATACCCATGTTCCGACCTGATGAGGAAGCTACATCATTCATCACGGACAGGGGGCTGTATTGCTACAAAGTCATGCCCTTCGGATTGAAAAATACCGGGGCCACATATCAGAGGTTAGTCAACATGATGTTTGCCTAACTCATTGGTAAAACCATGGAGGTCTACATGGACAACATGTTGGTG